TAGATATTCGGTACAGCAGGGAAGAACTGCAGAATATACTGTCATTCAGATATTTTTAATATTATAAAATATTAAATACTGGCAATCAGTAGGCTAATTTCTAATGAAAATACCAATTTATATGACAGATTTTAATGTAGGCTTTTATTAATATGTAAACATTGAGAGGTAGCTAGTTACACTGGTAATTAAACAAAGTTTTGCTCACTCAGTGTATTTTTGATTTTACAGTTGGGTAATTTTGTTGCAGTAGCACGAGATAGCTTGATTTAAAACTTTGAATTGAATAAAAAATGACAAGGAGACTAAGCAGTTAATAATAAAATAAGAGCAAATAAAGAAATTACTAATGATAGCACAAATAAAAAATAACGATAGGCCTACAAATGAAATAATTAGTTTTTCAGGTAGGTCTAACACACGGGCTATTAAGAGATTTTTTTTTTACCAATTATCAAAATAATGTTTAATCCTAGAAAGCTATTATTATCAGAGGACACATGAGCATAACGGTAAGCAGATCAATGAATGAGAGGGCAGCATTACCAGAGTTGCCCATTTACCCCACCATGTTACAGCACAGTAGGGCTATTGCAAACAGAAACAATACTGTACTACATAGATGTTTCCTGTCAGCTTGATTTTTGAGTGGACTTTGCTGTTCCGATGAGCATGAACAGTATATGAGTGGAGCACTCACATGGGCCGTGAGCGACTGAGCAGAGCACACACACGCATAGACCGGGATAACAAGCAGAGCGTCACACCACGTGAAAGTGAATCCTGAGCGGTGAACTAATTTTCGGCAGGCGGAATTTCAGTGCATCTCTAATTATTGGCGACATCAGAAATGGTTATTATATAATAGCTGCTTTTTTTAACATTTTAGCAATTTAAAAATTAAAAAAAAGGATTATTTTACACGGCACCCCTGCTCTCGACAGACGGCACCCCGGTTGGGAAACACTGCTTTAAACTACTTAAACAACTTATTTAAACTACTTAAAGACTCTTGACTCTACTGTATAGATAGATAGATAATATTTTTAAAAAGTAATATTTTTATTTTCAAATATTCTTTAAGTATTATAAAAATCATTTAAAGTATTTAAATTACTTCAAGACTTTTCAAAGTATTTTAAAACTATTGTTACTTATTTTAAAAAAAGTCAGCTGCACTACAAGAAATTGCTTGTGAGACCACTTCTCATTCCTGTGTTGGAGTATTTCCTATTTAAGCAGGAAATTGAAGAAAAAAACTAGGCAGTTGGCTTCATTTACATCACATCCATGATCTATTTATACTTAACAGATGCATTTGGTATTAGGGGGAGGGAAATTGTCATTCTAGTGGGCATTTTATTGGTCAAAAATATGTTGCATGTAGGATATGTCATCAACATTTTTCCAGAAAAAGTAATGCTGAACATTTAAAATCCATAAATCTGCTAGGAAAGCCAAAAACGGGAGAGGCACAGGCTGAATGGCACTGAATCGTTCAGTGAGGCAGCGTGTTTCTATTTTTCAGCTCAGTCGGAAAGCCTGCAGCCATGTATAACTGGTGTGAAGCAGATTGATATAATCATGTGGCAGCTCTGCACTGTGTCAGATCAACATTACTTACCCCTGCCACTATAACCTCATTTCTCCCTCTCTCTCTTCTTTCATCTCTCCTTTATACCTCATATTAGTAACCTCTCTCTTCATCCCGAAACGTGGACTGAGCTTTCGCTCTCTCATCACTAGATGCTTTTTTTCCACACCCTGTTCCCACTACCCTCTTCACGGCTGCCCTCAAGAGGAGCTGGAGGGGGGTGCTTGACAAACGGGCCATGAGCACCGAGTCGAGAAGGACGCAGATGTCAAAGCTATGAATCTTGGGACACTGCCTCCCCCTCGTCCCTCTTCTCTCTCTCTCTCTCTCTCTAGCCTCCACTCCCTGCTCAGGTGCGGGACGGTCCCATGTAGCACCCAATCAGCGCTCACCTGCGTCTCCCAAGACAATCACTCATAGCTTTACTAATCAGAGAAAATGAAGTGACAAATCCACTCCAGGTGTGTGCATGTGTGGTTTTTCACCCTACGTGGCACTCACAGGGTCACAGCAAAGGCTTTAAGAAAAAGGCTGGAGGTTATAACTCACCAGCCACGATCCTGTCACATGGGAGACGAGATTTTGATGGCACACACTTTATTATGGCACGTGAGAGTGATTGTGCACCCTTAACCCTTGATTAAAGGTCAGACAAAGTTGGTGAGATATAGTCCATCATGGATTTCTGTCTCTTGGAGCTTGTCTAGAACAGAGTTAATGGTACTGTCTGATCTGAAATAGCTGTTTTTGATTTTTTTGTAGGTCTCACTGTTGCACCCATAACGTCTAACTACTAGAAACATTAAGAGGATTTCCATGCCTGTGTTTTATTATGTAATATCATCAAATATTAATAGAACATTATACATATATTCTTATATATTCAAAAGTTTGGGGTTGGTAAGATTTTTTCAAATGTTTTTTTTAAAGGAAGTCTCTTGGTCTCACCAAGGTTGCATTCATTTGATCAAAAGAACATTAAAAACCGTAATATTTTGAAATATTATTACAATTTAAAATAACTGCTTTCTGTTTGAATATATATTGAAATGTAATTTATTCCTGTGATACAAAGCTGTATTTTCAGCATAATTACTCCAGTCTTCAGTGTCACATGATCCTTCAGAAATCATTCTAATATGCTGATTTGCTGCTCAAGAAACATTTCTTATTATTATCAATGTTGAAATCAGTTATCTTGCGTAATATTTTTGTAAAAAAAAAAAATTCTGTTTTCTTTGATGAATAAAAAGGTCAAAAGAACGGTGTTTATTTTTAAATAGATTTTTTTTGTAAATGTAAAAGTCTTTACAGTCACAGTTGATCAATTTTGTGTTTCCCTTTCTGAATAAAAGTATTAATTTCTTTAAAAAAAATATTACTGATTCCAAATTAATTGGATTTTTTTTCTGAATGGATATATATATTATACATATATTCTTTTTAGCTTTATTTAACCAGTTATGTCACTTAAAGATCGTTCACTTAAGATTAAATCCAAATGTACATTTATTTATTTATTTTTTACATTAATATTGTTTATACCTTTATATGGTACTAATTGTTTTAGCAGAAATATTTATGCATTTAGAGAAATGTCTAGTTGATTATTTGAAAAGAGTTAAATTATTTTTCCTTAAAGGGGTGGTTGATTGCGATTTCACTTTTTTAATGTTAGTTAGTGTGTAATGTTGCTGTTTGAGCATAAACAATATCTGCAAAGTTACGAAGCTGAAAGTTCAAAGCAAACAGAGATATCGTCTTTTAAAATTCTAGCAGTTTAATGCCTACAAAAATGGCTGGTAGGGACTACAACAAGTTACTTCCCGGGTTTGTGACATCACAAACCCAGATAAACCCCGCCCTCGGGAAAAGGCAAGAGGCCATGCTGCGCTGCTTTAGAGAAGAGGAAGAGAAAACTAGAGGTGCACGTAAAAATCTATTCATATATGAATCGTGATTCTGTCTTCTAACGATTCTAATGGATTCACAAGTTTCAAAATCAATGTTCTAAAGCAGCGGTTCTTAATACTGTTCCTCGTGTCCCCCGTGTTAGACGCGCACTAGAGGCGGTTTAGCCAATCACAACACACTGGGCTAGCTAACCAATCAGAGCCCATCGCCTATTTCTGAGGGAGGGGCTTCATAAAAGCAGGAAATTGATCAGCACGTTTCTCAGAGAAGGGACAGAGCGGTGTGGAATAAAGGTAAATTATGTGAAAAATAATGTGTTTCTTAAAAAACGAAGCATTAACACATGTTATACTGCACCCTATAAACACAATCAAGCCTAGAAAAAAAACACTGAACCACAACTTTAAATAAATTGGTTGGCTATTGAATCTTGAACTAGGTCATATAATATTCATTACATTCTTCAAAGATTTTTTACTAGTGCTACAGCCATTTACAACCAGCCATTTTTTTTTTAGAAAGAAATAGAAATTTGTAATTGATGCAATCACTTGTTTTTCTCAAGCACAGACAGAATGTTAACACATACATACAGTATAAGTGTGACCACTGTACGTAGCTTGTTTAGATTTTCTCCTGGAACGTGAAATAAACGCACTGCAGCTTTGAGTTTGTGTCTGATTGCCAAACGTAACAGACATTAAGAACTGATGAATGCAGAGTTTTTACGATTATGACCATCAGCTGAATTTAGATTTTTTGCCAGAAGCATGTGGCTGGTAACCATTAACATCATCACACAGGGACATTTACGATTGCTGGAAACGACTGAAACATTGCTGAAAGAGACAGTCAAGGCTGTGGTTTACCATTTCATGATAGATGTGCTCATTATTGCACATTTGTGTAAAGGATGAGGTCTAATACGCCCACACAGTGACCAGCCGTCTGTTATGCTTTAGCTATCAATTACATAAAACCACAATTTTTGTAAAAACTAGTCATATTTTTCGTTTTTAGTCATGTTAGGCTTTACTTGAAATGGTCTTTAGTTTGGTTGGATTTTCATCTGTGTATATTGAACACATTTACAGTTAAACTGTACTTGTTTGTAAAGTGTTTTGATTAGTGCATTAATCTTCCTTATGCCTTGTCATAATTGTGGTGCATTCAAACTGCTGTTTCCAAATAGTTTTGGAAGCTTTTCCTCCTTTTGCCGTCTTTGATTCGTGCCAGTGAGTTTGTTCAAACATTCAGAGCTGGTATATTTAATGACAACAAGTTAATATGCAGTCAAAGTTTACAAATGTAGGACATTTAATTGGAGTCATTTCGAGTTTAATGGACTCGAACCAGCATCCCTGGGAGCAGTATGGCCCAGATATGTCTAGATCATATGAGCAAACCACTGCACCAGAGATCTGAAAAGCTGCACATAAATCTTTTAATGGATGTGACATGGCTTAGTGGTTGAAGTTGTGGACCGGTAAGCCAAAGGTTGTGGGTTCAAACCCCAGAAGGTGTGATTCAGGAGCTCAATTCAGGATGGCCGTGGTAAAATATGTACTGTGAGCCACTTTGGATATGAAAGTGTCTGTTAAATGAAAAATGTTCTTGTCATGTGATGCATTGACTCATGAGGGCTTCGTTTGACTGTACATATATCAAATGTTAGCCCTGCAGTTTGTCTTTTACTCACTTTCATGTATCATCTTTCTTCTCAGTCTATCCAGACCACTGCAATATCAGCCTGGCGGCAGTGGGGGACACTCAGAAACACTGTGACCGCATTGCATTCTGGGACGATGTGTATGGCTTCAAGATGAGGTGTATGAAGAAGGCTGTGATACCAGAGGCAGTTGTGGAGGTGTTGAAGCCTGGGACGGTCATTTCAGAGCCTGCAGTGATTAAGGTAAAGGGAGAAACCATATTAGGGTCTTTCTAGAAAAGTCTAAAGGGAATTATCAGCTAAATGATTAGTTAAGTCTGAATGTCCCCTTGGGGATCAGTGAAGTGTGTCATCTATCAAGGTTTAATAGTGTGTCTTCAGGTAAAACATACTATCTTTTGTGCTTGTGATGTTGAATTGGATAAAACCGTGCTAAATGAACATGTAAATGTTCAAATATTCATAATATTCAGCATAATATTCATTTTAAATAATATCACAGCACAGATGGTTTGGGCCACATACACTACTGTACAAAGGTTTGGGGTCGTGTTTTTTTATTTTTTTAAAGAAATTAATACTTTTATTCACAAGGATGCATTAAATTGTGACATTAAAGACATTTATTATTTCTATTTGAAATAAATGCTGTTCTTTTGAACTTTCTATTCATCAAAGAATCTGGAATTATAATGTATCACAGTTTCCATAAAATATTAAGCCGGATCATTTTTTCAACATTGATGATAATTAAATATTTCTTGAGCACCAAATCAGCTTGCTAAAATGATTTCTGAAGGATCGTGCGACACTGAAGACTGGAGTAATGATGCTGAAAATTCAGCTTTGCTATAACAGGAATAAATTACATTTTAAAAGATATTAAAATAGAAAACAACTTTTTAAAATTTTAATATTATTTCACAATATCACTGTTTTTGCTGTATTTTTTATCAAATAAATGCAGCCTTGGTCAGCATAAGATACTTTTTTCAAAAACTGAGTAAGTTTTTGAAAAGTAAAACTTACTCAGCCCAAACCTTTGAATGTAGTGGACCTCAATTCTAGATATTAAAATGATAGTTTACCCAAAAAATGAAAATTGTCATAATTTACTGATCCTCATGTTATTCCGAACCTTTATAACTTTCTATAAAACACCAATAGAGAATTTTTAGAAAATGTCCAAGCTGATCTTTTCCATACAACAAAAGTTGGTGATGATTTATACTGTGGTGCTTTCATTTTTGGGTGAACTATCCTTACACATTCAACTAATATTTTACTAATCCCTTCTTTTTAACTATATAATGGCTTCTGTCTTATTGGATTTGGTACAAATCATTAGATCACCTGAATCCCTAATTAATTGAGTCTGGGCTGGACAGAAAGCCAATTTCCTGTGTTGTGGCCTTGTTTTGAGACAGATGGATGAGGGGAAAGAACATAGGTAGGATCAAGGCAGAAGATGAAGAGAAGGGAGTGACAGATTGTGAGCGAGCGAGAGAGACGTGAGAGAGGAAGTAAAAGCTTCATAGAGACCGTCTGTGACAGAATGGCTGATTGATTATTCTAATCCTTGTTTAACGTTCTCTTTAGTAAACTTCATTACTTACCACTGCCATGGCCTTGGGTTCACTTACAAACACACATAATGTTGTGTTTATTAATTTTGCTTAATGGAGTTTTTCCTTAAACCTGCTTTAGTGTCATCCATCTTACAAAAGTTTTGTTTAAAAAAATATTTAAGGGAAAGATGCCACCAATGAATCTGAATACTCTGAAATGAACACTTATGAAGAGAGCTTCTGTATACTAGCATTGGGAAGTGTGAGAAAACAGTAGATCCATATTTTGACTAGATTGAACACAAAGTGTAATATTTTTTTCAATTTCCAATATACCTTTTCTTATTAGAAAAACTGACCAGTTTTTGACCAATACCCATATGTTCAACCATGGGAACTAAATTTCATTGTATTCCCTGACCTTGATCATAAAATGGTTCAAACTTAAGCAATAATGAAAATTCAGTGCACAAATCAATCTTTTCCTGTCTGTGCAGAAACATTGCACATCTTTCTTCCATTATCTCACTGATCCACCCCAATAACCATCCATTTAATGGTGGTCAGAGTTGTATTAAATGAACACATTCTAGCATGGAATTCTCTTACAATGTTTAATGGCACGTCTTCCACTTAAACTTGTCACATTCACTGCTTTATTTTATTTAAAGTTTTTTTTAATCATATTATCATGCAGATATATGTAATTGTCTTAAATGAAAGTATTTTGTTGTGAACAACAAATTGCTGGTTTGTTGTTCACATTCATTCGTTATCAGGAATAGTTCTCCCAAAAATGAAAATTTGCTCACCTTCAGGCTAGCCAAGGCATAAATGAGTTTGTTTCTTCATTGGAACAAATTTGGAGAAATTCAGCATTTCATCACTTGTTCACCAATGGATCCTCTACAGTGAATGGGTGCCGTCAGAATGAAAGTCCAAACAGCTGATAAAAACATCACAATAATCCACAAGTAATCCACACCACTCAAGTCCATGCTTGTAAGAAACAAATCCATCAAGATGTTTTTGCTTTCTCCAGTGAAAAGTCATATTGTCTAAATCAGGAGAGAAATATGCAGATCAAGCACTGTTTACAAGCGAAAACAGTTCTAAACGAGTATTGTTATTTGATTTTGATGTAAGAGGACAAAGGGGATGGACATTTTCACTGGAGGAATTATTATTATAAATTTTAGAATGATGGATTTATTACAAACATGCAGCTTTTCACTTCACAGTGTTAATTGATGGACTGTTTGGAGTCGTGATCTGTTTGGACTCTCATTCTGACGGCACCCATTCACTGCAAAGGATCCATTGGTGAGCAAGTGATGTAATGCTGCATTTCTCCAAATCTGTTCCGATGAAGAAACAAAATCATCTACATCTTAGGATGGCCTGAGGGTGGGTATTATTTTCAGCAAATTTTCATTTTTGGGTGAACTGTTCCTTGAAGTTGAAACACTATAATAAAAAAAGTTATTAACATCATAAGACAAAGTTGACTGTATGGTTTCTTTGTTATATAAAATGGAATGGCATGGCTGTAATATTTTTATGAAACAAATATATTTTTTGTGACCCCTCTCTAGACTATTGACTGTGGCTCTGTGACTGTGTCTGAGCTAGAGTTCACTGTAGACTTCAGCTTGAAGATAACGGCCTGCACCTTCTGTACAGTGAGTAGATCCAACTTCTAACACACACACAAACCCATTTACCAACAAACTCGCAAACAAACCGTGATTATTGCACACACACTTACACACACTTCAATCTTCAGTGCTAATCAAGGTTGTCAGGTGTGAAGATTAATTAGGAGTGGGAAGATGGATTGACCATTTGATTGTCTGGCATGGGTCAGGGAGCTCAGACATCAGTCTGGTTTGATGGACAGACAGGTTTTCTTACACGTGAATGTAACGACAGACAGTGAAAAGTTTAATTTAATTATTTCATGGCATAAGTTCAACCAAAGGTCTCCAAGTGTTAAGATCAAATAGAGTTAAAGAGCATTACAGGAATATTTTGCTCAATCGCATGTCATTCTAGTACTGTTAAACAAAAAGGTTCATTTTGAAAATAGTCATGCAGCTCTTGTCCCATTGAATAACTACCATTGTGGCCATGTTTGTCAAGCTCCAAAAAGGACATAAAGCTTCCATAAAAGTAGATTGTATGACTTCTAACAAATGACAAAAATAATCAGTTTCCACAAAAATATTAAGCAGCACAACTGTTTTCAACATTGATAATAATAATAAATGTTTCTTGAGCAGCAAATCAGCATATTAGAATGATTTCTGAAGGATCATGTGACACTGAACACTGGAGTAATGATGCTGAAAATTCAGCTTTGCATCACAGGAATATATTACATTTTAAAATATACTAACAGAGAAAACAGTTCTTTTTAAATTATAATATATGTGATATAATATTGATTGTAATATAATTGTAATGTTTCACAATAACTGTTTTGCTGTATTTTTGATCAAATAAATGCAGTCCAAGTCCTCAGAACCTGTACAATAGCTTTGTGTCAATAGTTACTGAAGTTCATCTTCATTGTAGAATACATTTGTCGATTCAACTTAATCGAGCTGGTGCGATGCAGTCATTTATGACACATGCAAGAACCAATGCCTTTAAAAGGGTCATTAGGACTATTTCTGTGGTGCTTTTTGGTTTTAGTGGATTTTGAACAACCTCTTTTGAATGAAGCAGAGCAGCATGAACATTCTTGAGAGTTTCTTCTTTTGTGCTTCGTTGAAAAGTAACATCATACAGGTTTAGTACAACAGGAGGGTGACTAAATTAATTTCTGCATGAACTATTCCTTTTGAGACAATATGGTCCTTGTTTCTAGCTATATTGTTTGCAAGGTCACCATTCGTGCCGGGTGTACTTTCTGGCGAGAGAGAGTACATGTTTGTATTTGTCAGTGAAAGAGAGAGACTTGGTGAGAGACGGACCAAAAAAAGCAACTGAAATTTCAAATGCAATTTTTCTTTTGTCCAAGCATTATTGTTCCTGCTTCTTTGTTATAGCTTTTATAGATTAATCAATACTGTATTATTATCTCCCTTCCCCTCTCCGAGTTACTCTGAATTTAATGGCGTTTGTAAACATCATCTCATTTTTCTGCTGCTCTCCAGTAATGGAAAAGCACATCCCGATTTCCTCCCTGTTTAAAAACTTCTATTTTTATATATTAGGCAGGTACAAGCAATTTGCAGATTTGAAATATACTTGAATTTAATGAGGAAAATTCCGTTTATAGTCATAGATTGGATTCAGCTCCCTATTTTGCACTGCTTTGTCATGTAATTATGGAGGCACCCCAAAAATGAAGGGAAAATGCTGTCGTCCTCATGATTGAGTGCATGGACTTATTCTCCTGCCGACAGTCCATTCATCACATCAGGCTGCCTAACCTTGCATTAAATGAACAGCGCTACCCTGCGCTCTCGTGCTCGGCCGGCGGAAGACAAATAACGCTCGCTCTTACAGTTGCACTGGCCCTCGGCTCACGTTGTCCACAGGGACGAAAGTCTCTCCTCTCTCTCTCTCTCTCTCTCTCTCTCTCTCTCTCTCTCAGTATCTCTCTTGCTTTCTCTTTCACCTCCCTCCAGAAAAAATGTGTCTCTCCTAAATGTGTCAGATTAATTTAGATCAATTCAGTATGTATCTTTAAGCTCACTTTTGGCCAAAGTAGTAGTAAGTGGGGTAAGCTGTGCCGCTTGTTTACTTTAGTTCCCTTCTTGGAATTAAAAATAAGATGGAGTAAAACTAACTGAAATAATATTTCAAATTCAGGATCTGTTTCGGAATAAGCAGTATTTCATGTGTGGATGGATAAGTTTGTGTCACATGAATAGTTTTTAAAATATATTAAAATAGAAAACAGTTCTTTTTAAATTAAAATACATATGTAATTAATATAATGCAAATTGTAATAGAATTATATTTCACAATAACTGTTTGATATTTCACAATAACTGTTTTTACTGTATACTGTTTTACTGTTTACTGTAAATGCAGACTTTGTGAGCATAAGATAATTATTTCAAAAACATTCAAAAAATGTACCAACCCCAAACTTTTGAACTGTAAGTATACAGTATATTCCAAGTCCTTTGAAACCGCATAATAGCGTTGTGTCAATAGTCACTGAAATTCATCTTTATTGTAGAATACAATTGTCTATTCCGTTTAATCGAGCTGGTACAATGCAGTCATTTGACATATGCAAGAACCAATAATGCCTTTTGCCTTTAAAAGGGTCATTTGGACTATTTCTGTGGTGCGTTTTGGTTTTGTTAGATCTTGAACAGCCTTTGTTGTAGGAAGCAGAGCAGCATGAACATTCTTGAGAGTTTTTTTCTATAATGCTTTATTGAAAAATAATATCATACAGGTTTAAAAGGGCATGAGAGTAATTTCTGTGTGAACTATTTCTTTCAAGAAAATATGTTTGCTAGAAAAACTCAGCTAACATTGAGGGCCTAGAGTTTTCTATGTTAGGTATAAAATGTTCATGGCACGTCTAGTGCACTGCAGTTGAAGCACATCTGAAGATGGTTTTGCGTACTGTTTGCGTCAGTGGTGATTTGCCCTAAGGACACTTTGTTACATCAAGCTGTGACAAGAACAATACTGGTAATGATCATACAGTGTGTGGGGGGAAAATAAAGAGGGATAATGCTTGTTTTCTCCTTATTTGTAAAATGTCAATGCAGACAAAGCAATGGGTAGAAGTCAGTTATAAGGACTCTAAGTACTAGTAGTAATTAGCAAGTCCTAAGTAATTTAAAAAATGTGCTCAACTTATAATTGGAAGTTATGATAGGATGTTTAAATTGTGCAACTTTACAGTGTAAAAAAAAATTAAATTTCAAATTAATGCTCTTTTGATGTACTTTTGAACTTTCTGTTCAAGAAGTATCACAGTTTCCACAAAAACATAAGCAGCACAATTGATTTTAATATAGATCAAAGTTTCTTGAGCACCAAATCAGCATATTAGAATGATTTCTGAAGGATCATGTGACACTGAAGACTGAAATAATGGCTGCTGAAAATTCAGCTTGGCCAATACAGGAATAAATTACATTTTAAAATATATTAGAGTAGAAATCAGTTCTTTTAAATTGCAATAATATTTCCCATTATTACTGATTTTAGTGTATTTTTTATCAAATAAATGCAGCCTTGGTGAGCAAAAGAGACTTTGAAAAACATTTTACAAATCTTACGGACCCCAAACATTTAAACAATGGTGGTTGTGTAATAAAATGTTAGTTATTAACAACATCACTGTTTGCATCATGCATATCATTTCTGTTAAAAAGTGCAGTGACGTCCTGAAATGTGCTCATCCTGCATTTCTGATGGCTTCAGAGACTGACTCGACATTTCCAGTGAACGAACACTGGGGCAATGTTGACAGTCGCACAACTCTATGTAGCCAAATCCCTGGACTGGGGAGCTGCTGACTCTTTGGATGAAATCAAGTCAGTAGAGTTTCAGTATAGATGATCAGTGTGGTACAGTATATGTTCATTTTATGCAAATTACACTTTCTTTGTACATACAAGTTACTCTTTGTTAGTTCTGGACCTCCAGTAGTTGCCGTAAAGCAGTAGTAATTGTAATTTAGCAAATGCTTTTATTTAAAGTGACTATTAAGCTCTGAATGTAATCAAGCCTATTTTTTACTTTCTTATAATAAAAAATGCCCCAAAGTAATTAAAAAGAGGTTACTGTATATGCATGGTAGTTTATCAGCAGGGACGTAAAGTTTTGAGTACAAGCAATTCTTACTGTATTTTTGTTGCTGTTGCTCTGGTGGGCACATTATGACTTTCATTGGCATGAAAAAACATCCAAGCCAACTTGTTTTAACAGATCAGTATGTACAGGAGTGCTTAAATATTATTGAGAGAAATGTGTGAGAAACAAAGATTTTGGGAGAAAGATGCAGATACATTTTGGAAAACTTTTTCACAGTGGCTGTAAAATCAAGTTAACCGTGTCATTGCCATACCAATTGACACATGTTTTGCATTGTAATGTGCTCATAGGGGGCAGTCGTGGCCTTATGGTTAGAGAGTCGGTCTTGGAACCCGAAGGTCGCGGGTTCGAGTCTACTGTTCGAGTTACTTGACTCTGACCCCCTTGTTTTCAGTGCGCATCTTCTTTTGCCGGGTTTCTGTTGACATTTTTGGGCAATTTGCGCTGACAAAAAGGATGAACCCGTTTAAAGCAAAGCGTTTGGAGATGCAGAAGTCCCAGCAGAGTCAAACTAGAGCTGTGATGTCAGTAGTGTACAAACCCAAACTGTTCTTGATGTCACTTCATTGTTGATTTTACCAGGCTGGAGGAAGGTATTGCATTTGCCCAAATACCCATATGGCTAATCCAGTCCTGAATTTTACAGTACGTTTTATTGTCTGGACTATCTATTTTAGGTAAAATGTTTTTATTATACAGTGCACAGCATAAATGAGTACACCCCCTCTGATCAAATATAAAAGATGTATTTTCTTAATGATCACTAATATAATTCATAGAAAGATTGAAATGTATTAAACATATTCTTAATAAAAACAGAGAAATACATGCCATTAATATCTAATATCTAAAATAAGAAACTTTTTTGTCAATTTTTGTTTAAATGAAGGATAGCATAATTGAGTACAACCTAGATTTAATTCAACCAAGTGCAATATTCTAGAACTTAATATGTCCTCCATAACTCTAAGTACACTGCCCCTGACCCTTCTTGGCACTGAGTGTACAAGCTCATGACAAATTTTCACATCTGTGCTGTTTAACTCCTGGAGGACGACCTCCATAAATGCTCTGGTCTTTAATGGGGAGTGTTGCTCAGCTCGTCTCTACAGAATCTCTCACAGCTGCTCAAGAGCATTAAGATTGAGTGAAATACATGTCCAATGAAGGAATTTCAACTCGGGAGAATGAATATCATCATTGTCATGTTAAAAAAAATGCCCAACAATGCAGAGAATGAGAAGAGGGTAGCATCTTAGCATTCATGACAGCGTTGATAAAGTTTTTTTTTTAGTTTTATTTGGTAACTTTCAGGAGGGTGTACTCATTTTTGCAACACAACATTTTATCACTTTGATAAGAAAATGGTATTTTCTTGAATCATTTTAACATTCTTCTTTGGTAACTGATCAAGCAGACTTGCTGGAATATTATATCTCTAAAAAAACCATAACATGTCTTCTAAGCAAATAGTAATTGCTGAATTTGTTACGTTTCAGAGGGGGTGTACTCATTTATGCTGTGCACTGTAGATCTAGATCAGAAATTGTAAATGTAGATCATATAGCACCATAACCAGTGGTTCTTCCATTGTTCATTAACACTGTTGACTATAATGGGACGCTCAGTTTTTGATGCTTTATTTCTACAAATTTCCTGAAATAGTATGAAGTAATTTTTAGTTACTTTTAAGACAAAAGTGTTGGAATCATCTCCTCGAAGAGAAGCAAGAAAGTCTGTATTTGTTCTGTTTTAACTACCACTTTTCTACAGCATTTCTGCCTCACTCTGTACTCCATTTCACTTTATGTAGGTGACTGTGAGTGTTCCTGCAGTAATGTCCTTCCCCTCTAATTAAACCCTGTATATTTGCTTCCAGTGCGGCGGAACGTCAACCTCCGACAGAAAAGCAGAATAACAGGAACGGGAGTTTCGTTGGCATTGGTGTGTGATGTGCACAGAATAAGGGGAGACGCTGGCTGGAGAAGGAGGAGGGGGGGAGCTCGAGGTGGTCGAGTGTGACGCCTTGCACGCGTGAATAAACCCCATCAAAAGCGCATTAGCTCTCCCTCCTCTGCAGCTCGCAGCATAATTGTATCTGGCTGCACCACGCTCTGCTCCGACATGATAGCGCTGGAAAGAGCTTGATGATGAATTGCTCCCCATTGGTGTTAGCGATGATGATAATTATTAATTTTCCCCCGACCTGTTCTCCAGGTAGACTCGTGCGCCTCCTCCTGGGCCGGGTAACAGCTCGCGCACATCACTTATCTCCGACATTTCCCGGGTGTGAAGGCTGAACACGTTGATGAGAATAAAAAGCCTCCGTTTCCACCATTTGTCCCCCTTTCCCCCACGCAACTCTGGCTTTTGTGTCTGCTCTTTCACTCCACCCTGGTACGTTAACGGGGGTGTTTTATTTCTGGCAGGGAGTTACTTGGCTCTGGCCCCCTTGTTTTCAGTGCGCGTCCTCTTTTGTCGGGTCCCTGTTTCTGTTGACATTTTTGGGCAATTTGCACTGACAAAAAGGATGAACCCATTTAAAGGAAAGCGTTTGGAGGTGCAGAAATGTTATATATAATATAAGGCAAAAATTATACATCACTTGCTGTTTTATAACAATTATGATTAATTATATAAAATTATGGGAAGATTATAGTTGAAAATAAAATGTTTTTAATACAGCGGTAGTGAATTAAAATATATATTGGTTATATTAAAATATAACCATATATTAATGTAATTGAGTATAATCCTTAAATTAATAATTTGTATTTAATTATTTAAAAGGACAAACAGCTTTTAAAAAGTAAAAAAAACATACTGTATATAAACCCGTATATATAAGCATTACATTTACTGTATTTATAAACTGTATATATAAAATATACTGTATATATATCAAATGTAATGTTAATTTCCACTGTTTTGCATTTCTGTTTTTAATACTGTTTTGTAAAATTGCCTATTGTAAACAAAGCCCATATGAAGGAATCACGCCGAAGAGAAGTTGTTTGTGGATGTGGTTCTAAAACCTTTATTATGTCGCTGTGGCTTTGTCCTCTTAAAGCTATTTTAACAGAAGAAGAGGAAGATTAATAGTTAGGTGCTCTGCTTCGGTTTGTAGGGGAGGGAGAGAGAGACACAGGCATTAAGCCAGAGCTATATTTCTCCCCACAAGGTCCCTGGGATACTTCAGGCAGAATGGCTCACATTATCACTGCAGTGTCCCCTGGGAGTTCACAGGGGACTGTTTTCTCTCTGTGTGTGTGTGTATGTGTGTGTGTGTGTGTGTGTGTGTGTGTATCCATCTGTGAGAAGATGTGTGCAGTGACACAGCTCAGTCATTCATTCGGGGAAATCCTCCTCAATTCACACCTTTCATGACTAAATAAATACTTTAGAAATATAAATTACTCATTTCAAGTGAATTGCTGTCTTTTGCTATTTGTAATTGCGTACAGTTACATATGGGAAATATTGTACTTGGAAACAATGTTAGTCATCAAAAGAGAAAGTTATGAAATGTTTGTCTCCAATCAATCATATTTATGAGCTGTTGTCTTCAGTGACAACAAAGTTCATGGCGTGCCAAATGACTCGCAAATCCACTCTTCCTAAGGAACTCAATAAGCAATTAGCCCTGGTTTGGTAATTATTGCTCCACATAATGTCTGATAATGTTCATTACAATATCTTTTTTATATGGAGCGTTTCCACAACACTGTGATTTTTTTTAATCACTTGTCAACATGTCTCTTTTTACCCTGTTTTGCTAATTGCTTCCTGCTGGCCCGAACACGTGTCAGCGTTTACCAGAATGTCATGTTCTAACCTCTCTCTCATATTTCATTCCAGGCCATCGTGGGCTATTTTGACATTTTCTTCGACAAGAGCTGCGGAAACAAGGTAAGCAATAGTGCTGTGCTGTTTAACAGCGAGCAATTGCGGTCACACCTTGCCGTTTTTTAGGCCCGAGGCAATCGCAATACAATCGCCAGCCTCTCATTCCTAAATGCTGAAATAAGCATTTGCCTTCCTCCAGTGGCCAACTGGAACAGGCAATGAAATAAGCTAAACTTATCAGCCACTGGGAGAGCAATCGTGCGCTGGGTTCTGATAATAGGAATTTAAGCAGGTGGATGTGGAGGGGTCTTGTGTCTTTTGTCCCATTTTTGATGTTTGAACACAGCATCTGAGTTTGTGTTAATGATCTGGTGGATAACCACATCAATTATGTTTGCTTTGGCCTGATTTGGTTTAAAGGAGCAATTGGTTTGTTTTCTGACCTGGTAAACTTAAAGCTGCAGTCCGTAAGTTTTGCCTCTTTGTCGCCATCTCTGTTTGAAAACCTGGAATTGCAGCTGTGTGCGGAATTATCTTCCCTGCGTGGGTTGTGAGTCGGCACGGCTCCAGCATGGATGAATCTAATGTTTTGAGGAGTATGTGTGGCAGTCAGTCACCGCACCGGTGTGGATATTTACTGTACTTCGCAATCACAGATTCTAGCCTTCGTCTTCGTCAAATAAGAATTTTCACCGTATATTGCCATCTGAACAAGTAAGTAACAAGTCTGCCACGTTTGTTCTGACCAACTGAGTATAAAAGCATTACAATAAATCGAGCTACCAATGGTGATTAAATCTAAAGATCAGTTAGCTCACATCACATCAAACCATGCAAATTATTATTATTATTATTGTTATATTTTATTCTCAAATTGTTAATGTTAACAACATCAGCATTACGTGACTATGTG